TGGATCGTCCGCCGCGTGGTGCACAACCGACGACGGCATCTCCGCCGCGCGACGGCGCCGATCGCGCGGGGGTTCGCGACGGGCCGTCGCCCGTTGGAGCAGCGCGTGGAGGACCTCCCGATGAAACCCCTCGTCCTCGTCGGCGCGTTGGTGTTTGAGGTCTCGCGTGAGGAAGGCGCGGGATCGGCAGGGGATGGGGAATCCACCCCCGTGGCCTCCTCAACCCCATCCTCCTCCTCCTCCGCATCCGCGATCCCGTCGGGATCGCGGGGGGAATCCTATGGAAGCACCTGTGGGGTCGCCCACCCCCGCGAGCTCCGCGTCGCGGCGGAGCTGCAGTGCGTCCTCCACCCATCCGACAGCATCGGCGCGATCACGACGAAGCTCTGTGCGTGGGAAGGCCGGAGTTACGAGCGGTTGAAACTCGAACTCGCCCTCGTGGATGTGTGCGCGGAACTGTCGGATTGGGTGACGGGACCCCCCAAAGGGGCGACCCCGCGGGTGGGGTTCACCGTCCTCCCACAGCTCCACCTCGCGTCCGAGGCGGTGGTGGAGGGGCTTCAACGGCTTCAACGCCTCGCGTGTGAGCTGTGCGGGGAGATCTCGGACGGGGGGGGGGCGGACCTCCCCCCGACCGTCCTGGCCGCCCTGCACGAGGAGCTCCGTCGCGTGAGCGAGGCCGAAGGCGAGTGGCGCGCGTGCGATCTCACGGCGAACGGGGTAAACCAACCCAAAGAAGGGGACGACACCCCTTTGGATCGGAAACATCTTTCCCAACTGGTGATCCGTTGTCGAGGTCTTTCCGTGCTCGCGGCGCCTTACCTTCGTGGGGGAATTCACCTTCTCTATGGGCCCTCCACGCGGGGTGAAACCCCCACCAATGGGGCTCCACCCCACTCGAAAACCCCCACCCTTCCGGTGTTTCGGGTTTCTCGTCATCGCGGTTGTTGCACGGCGGAATCGATCGCGTTTACCGCCGCCATCGAGCTCGTCGGAGAATCCTCGCCGCGAAGTTTTTTAACCGCCCTCGTCGCTGTGCTCGAACGGGTGGTAGTGGAAGGCCTCCTCGCCGAGCGGTTGCTCCCGAAGGTGGTGGATCTTCGCACGCGAATCACCCACGCGGAGTTTATCCCGCGCGAATTCGCGAAGGAGGACGACGAGGAGGCCTCTCCGTTTCGCTATCGCGGCCCGATTCACTGCTTTCCACGGCTGCGAAACCTCCCGACGGCGCGGGAGCTTCGGTTTTGGCAGCTGCTTTACGAGCATCGCGAGTACCTCGCCCGCCACGCCGCGTCGGTGCGGACGATGAACGTTTTTTTCGAAACCCTCCCATATGAGGACGAGGAGGGAGGAGGAGGAGAAGGGGGGGAGCTGCGTTCGTTCGCCCCGGCTGCCTTTCCCGAAGGCGACCCCATGGATCAAACTGGAAACGGTGAAAACGGCAAGCGAAACGGCGGGGTTTTCGCCGGATGGTACGGCCCGGGCGCGGCGGATACCGACGATGTCGTGCTCACCGCCGCGGAGCTGACGGATGGGGTGGCGTTTCGTGCGTGGCTGGAGGACGTCGTGGAGCAATCCGCGATGCACGCCGAGGCGCGGCGGATTCTTGAGGAGGCCGGGATCGGTTACCTCCGCCGCGATCCCGCGCTGCCGCTGGCGAATTTCTTGTCGTTTGTTAAAGTTTTCGCCGCCGCGACGGCGGTCCGCGCGGTGCTCGAACGCGGGCAATCGGCGGATACCCGGGTGGTGCACTCGGAGGCGATCGGGTTGAGCGTCGTGGTGGGGGCTCAGTGCGATGTGCGGGATGGCGGGCAGCTGCTCATCCCGTGGTATCTCGACCCCAACCTCCTCCTCGCGCTGCTTGAAGGGGGCGGAAGGGGTCTGCCCGCCTTGGAGGGCTCCCAAGGCGATCCCGCGTCGATCGCGCCGCCGACCGACTCGGCGGTTTAACAGGGGAAGAACGACAAGCCGGGTTTCGGATTGGTTTGATGGTTTTGGTTTCCTTCTAAACTCTTACACATTATTCGGACTCCTAGGATGTCTACCACTCTTGGAGTCTTGCACTATGAAAAGTCTCTTTGTTCTTTGGATAATCGACGACATTTAGAATCGTTTTTTTTTCTATTCTTTTTCGTTCCTACTATTCATCTTCCATTGCCCTTGGTTTTTTTGCTTCTTACCTCACGCTACGCATTACCAGATTCCTATCTGCGCTATATCCACACACGCACCCATACCCAACAACTTCTCATCAAAAAAAAAACAATAAGAAAATATACACTTACACCTCTCAGCTCTGCAATGCCGCCGAAACGTCAAGTGTTGAAGATTATCATTTTGGGGGATAGCGGAGTCGGCAAAACGTCGCTGATGCAGCAATACGTCAACCACCGGTTTGATAACCGCTACAAAGCAACGATTGGGGCCGACTTCCTCAGCAAAGACATCGAAATCAACGGTCAGGTGGTGACGTTGCAGATCTGGGATACGGCCGGGCAGGAGCGTTTCCAGTCACTTGGCTCTGCGTTTTATCGTGGGGCGGATGCCTGCATTTTGGTTTTTGACGTCACCCAGACGGAAAGCTTCGCGCACCTGAGCTCGTGGCTAGAGGAGTTCAGCATCCAGGCGGGAAGCCGCGATAGCGTGCTGATTGGCAACAAAATCGACTTGGAAGAACGCCGGCGGGTCTCCAACATGACGGCACAGATGTGGTGCGCGAAGCAAAACATGAACAACAGCACCACTTCGAATGTTGCCTCGTGCGAGATGAAGTATTTTGAAGCCTCCGCCAAAGAGAATATCGCTGTGGACGACGCCTTTTTAGCGGTCTCCGTTGCAGCTTTGGCAAGGAAGGTGGCGACGGAAGAAGAGGTGGTGGAGCGACCGGAGACAATACTTTTGTCCTCCAACCGAATAGAGCAAGAACCCCGCTCGTTGTGCAATTGCTGAAAGAAGGAAAAGATTTATGAGAACGTATATACCTACAGTTTTTTTATATATAGTTACCCATACCAAGTTCACCACTGCCATAACCAGAAGAAAGGGCGGATGAGGAAAGTAAAACAACGAATCCACTACGTTAACAATGAAAAGAATGAGTTTGTTAGACAATTCCTTCAAGTTTTTTTTTTGGAGAAAATACTGGCACGCTCTTTTTAGGAGGCCGTTTTCGAAATAAACATAAAAAGAACTCTGTTCATTGTTTCAAAAGAGCATGATGCTCCAAACATACTGCGACTTTCACCCCTATTTTCTTTTCTTCTAGTGCATTTTAGAAAGCCAAACGAAAACCTCGCCTGCAATTGGTCGCGGGACCCGGAAGCTCTGAGACAACTCCGTGTTGCGTTTTATCGGCCTGGGGCACCCGTGCTCCCATAGTGTAGCGGTTATCACCTCGGACTCTGAATCCGATAACCCTGGTTCGAGTCCAGGTGGGAGTGGTTTTTTGCCTACCACAATAACCTCATAGTAGCACCGACTACCTTACAGGGGGGAACGTTGCTCTCATAGCTCAGTTGGTTAGAGCGTGGGTCTAATAAGCCCAAGGTCACAGGTTCGACCCCTGTTGGGAGCATTTTTTCCCCCAGGGTAAGGGGTATTCAACCTCCGTGCTTGAGATTACAAAACTGCAGCGCCGGGGTTCCCGAGTTGGTCAAAGGGGTGAGACTTAAGATCTCATGCGTTAGCTTCGTGGGTTCGAACCCCACCTCCGGCAGACTTTTTACCTAATGAATCTTTCCCTTGATTGAAGTCAAGACTGAGGAAAGAGGGTGGATGATTCACACAAGAAAATCACAAGATCCATCATCGACACGCACCACGACACACCCATTCTTAATCAAATCGTGGTTATTTCTCTTTTTGACTATACAAAATACTTTTAAAGAGAACATTACAATTTCCCTATCCATTCCCTCCCAGATAGGACCACTTTCTTCACTTTAGTAATCAGTCGCCTTCTTTTACCTTTTCTGCGAGGTCGGCGTCAACGATCTAGTTTCTCTTGGGATCAAGGGGGGGGGGGGTATTATTGACCCCCCTCCTCCCCCCCCCCCCCCCCCTGTCCTCCCATAGTTAGACCTAAAATTACCACTAGGCAAATCTATTTTCCTACGTCGTTAAGACAAAAAAGAATAGCACAAAAACTTTCCATGAATTATTCGGGCTTCCAATAAATAAATCCGTCTTCCACACTTTTAAATTGCAGGATTTGCCCCACTAAATCGGGGGGAGGGAGGGGGGGGGTTACAAGGACGCTTTCAGAAACACGTCACTCCCTGAAGGTTGATGCGCGGGACACTTGAACCCTGCGGTGTCCTTCACGATATACTTGAACATGCCGTACATGTACAATTGGACATACACAAACCAATTGATTGCGTAAGGATCAAACGCGAACAGCTTTTTACTGCGCTCATTCAATCCGTCATCTAACTTCATGGTATTCATGCATGAAAACGTCCACTCATTGGTCATAAAATCGTAAAACTCCCAATTTAACATGTCGGCACGATGTACCGCCCTACCCAACCTCATTATTTGCTTCTGCTTCTTCGGGGAGCCGACCGGCTCGGGTAGCTTAACGAGAAGTCTCAGTGCCATATAAGGCGCGTAGCGCATCAGATGGTAACGCAGCATATAGTATTTCTTAGAGGTCGTCAAGAGCACACCGCAGCGACTCATCGACTTCGGGTGGCGCCTTTCCGAGAGGATATAGTTGTTTATGGCATCCTTCACGCGGCCCCAGGTGACGCGGTTTTGCGAGCCCGACATCGCCGCATGGTAAATCACCAACGGCTCGGGCGTGGGTATCGAACGCTCCTGCTCCACCTCGGATGGTTGGATCTCGCTAAGAGCCGCCTGCTGCGTCGGCGTCGCAACCGCCGCTGGCATCGCGGTCTTCGGGCCTGCCTTGCCCCATTGCGCGACGACCGGCAGAGGGGTACCCATAATGACAGCCGTTCCGGCAGGGCTGCCGGCCCGAAACGCCGCGGGCTTCCCCCCCTCCTCGGCCTCGGCCTGTCGGAGCAAGTTCCGTGCCCTGCGCGACTGCTGCGTCTGGAAAAGGGCCTTGATCATGATGTTCACCACGAAATCTACGGGAACAATATCACACACCTTATTGGCGTCGCACAACAGCTCCTTCACGACACCAAACCCAACAGTGAGGATGAGGCCCCCGGCGGCCGTGAGGACGTCGACCCAACCTGGCACCGGCTCGTAGTAGCTGCACCCAACAATCGAGGGCCGCACAATGGCGAGCGGTACATCGCCGCGGTACTTCTCCAGGAGCTTCTCGCCCATATTCTTCGTAAGGGTGTACGTGTTGGGGAAGCTCAGCCGTTTCAAGTACTGATCGGTCTGCGTCTTGAGCTCGGAAGGATGGATGCTCAGGATCGCCTTGACAATCTCCTCCGCGTCGAACGGCAGCGGGTAAATCACCTCCTCGTTCACGTTATCGGTGCCTTGACGCTGATAGTTGACGTAGCAGGTCGACACGTGCACTACTGCCTCAAGCTTCTTGCAAGTTTTAGCCAACGCCAACATTCGCAACGGACCCAACGTGTTCATCTGCACCGACAAATCAAGCCGCTCATTAAAGTTTACCGTGGCGGCTATGTGGAATATGAAGTTAACCTCATTCGCAATCGTGGTGCGATCTTCTTCCGACAACCCAAGATGGTCCTCGGTGATATCGCCACCCATGGGCTTGATCTTGCTGCACATCTCCTTCCACTTCGCGTCGCCGACAGCCTTGCGAATGGGTTCAAAACACAGGGACGTTAATAACTCCAAATCTAGGCGTTCCTGCATTTTCAGATAGCGGTTGTACTGCCGAGACTTTTTCCCGCGCATAAGTAAATAGATGGTGCGCACATCATCGAACTCCTTGAGAATTTTGTACAATAAAACTTTTCCGACGAAACCGGTCCCGCCTGTGATGAAGATGACGCGCCCGGAAAAGCCCTCACGAATATCCATAGCAGAGTATATAAGAAGAAAATGCCAGGTAGCAAAATGCCTAAACGATGAAAAAAAAAGGATTAAGTCTGAGAAAGTTAAATAAACGATGAAAACTTTCTGGCGGAACACAGGCAAATTTACAAAATGTTCTACTAAGGAAAAAGAAGGACAGAGAGCAAGAAATAATCATTGCACTTGACACGTTACTTCAACGCTGTCAAATAAATACAAGTCCAAAAGGCTGGTGTCGCTAGATGTTTTTTTTCTTGCTTAATCTGCTGCCCTCGTCCCTCCCCCTGCGCAGGTGCACAAGGGCAGTCCTGACGACTGTTGCCGAGTTCTAACCAAACAAAAAGGTAAAATGTATTATCAGCTCTGTGTGCTTGTTTTTTTACCCCACCATTTTCTTCCCCCTATCCCCTCCCCCCACACCCCCCCACACACACTTCTGAATAACTCATATAGTTTTCATTCCACCGTCGCAATCATTCGCGCAAGCATGGCAGCTAGCTGCAGGGGAGTCCCCACACCTTCGGCAATGCGCATCGTGGTCTCACCGATGATCTTCAGCACCTCCAGCTGCTGAACCTCGTTGCGGAACATCTGCACCTTGGTTTGGGCGACTCGAAAGAAAGTCGAGATGACATCCGACGGTGCGTACCCGCGGCGAAGCAGTCGAGAGGCCTCCCGGTGCGCCTCCGCCAGATCCTTCTTAGTAAGGCATGCCGTCAGGATGTTCTCCACGAGCACTGGGTGGGGTTGATCGCACACCTTAAAGACGTTCTCCGCGTTAACCATCGAGTAGCCAGTGTGGGTGGCCTGCAAGGCGTTCATGGCCTGTCGAAGGTCACCCTCCGCCATGTACAGCAACGCCTCCAGACCGTCGTCCGTGTACTGGACGTTCTCCTGCTTGACGACAAACATCAGGCGCTTTAAAATATCCATGTTAGAGAGCTTTTCGAAGCGCACGATGGCGCATCGGGACTGGATCGGCTCGATAATCTTGCTGCTTTGGTTGCAGGCAAAAGCAAAGCGGGTGGTGGCGCTGTACAGCTCCATCGTGCGACGCAGCGCCTGCTGCGCGGCAGGAGTCATGCTATCGGCCTCGTCCAGCAGCACGATTTTGTGCAGCGCGATGCCGCCGGTGGAGTCGCCGTTGGGGCCGCCCCCAGGGAGCGTTTTTTTGGTCTGCGCGAAGAGCTTGATCCGCTCGCGGACTACGTCGAGGCCGCGGTCATCGCTCGCGTTCAGCTCCAGCACCGCGTCTTTCAAAATATCACGGTTGCCGGCCGAGGACGATGAGGCGGCCGAGCCGCGCAAGAGAAGGTCGCGGGCTAAACAAAGCATGCTGGTCGTCTTTCCGGTGCCCGGCGGGCCGCAGAGGAGCAGGTTGGGGAGGTTGCCCTCCCTCGCGATAACCTGCAGACGCGAGACGGCCTCGGCGTTGCCCACGATGTCGGACATCGTTTGAGGGCGATACATCTCAACCCAAGGCGTGAGGGATGACGACATTGATTCTCGACTTCCTTCTCCTCACAACACAACTTTTTATTCTATAAATGTTTGTAATTTGGATTGTTTTTCTATATATAGGTGTGTGTGATGGCGTCGAAGCCTGGCTCTTCTTTATCTAATGTGAAATACAAGGAAAAATAAGAACAGGGAAGAAACACGCTGTTCAATATGAAAAAAAATGGAAAAAATTATCGAGTAAGCCGCGACAATGCAATACAAAAAAAAAAATGAATAACAATGATACGCACCCGATAATGAATACGACAGCATAAGACAAAGAACTCCCAGATATGAAAAGAGAAGGAATAACAAAAGTCCCCTCATATACACACACACGTTGCGCATGACGAGCGAACGCCTCGAAGATTAATCAGACATCTCAACGTTTTACCACGTTGGGCATTCTCTGCAACCCTCGCACATAACGTTTTCTGCAAAACACGAAAGGGGTTACGCATATCTGCCACACATGATGAAATATGAACATTTCAACCTTTCTCAGTCTTGTCAAGCTGCCTTGACGATGGTAAGGACCGGAAGGGAGTGAGATCAGTGGTAGTTAAAGACGCCGGGAAGCGCTCATGACTCAAGGAGAGGTTTAACCACTTCCAGACACGACATCTCTACACCCTACCAGCCTCTTAACGTAGACTCGCAGTGGCTTAAAATGCTGCCATTTCACCAAACATATTGCTCCTATATAAACTGTTATTCGTGAAAGCTACCACTTTTTCCGATAAAAAAGAAAGAAAGTGGAAGCATAGATGAGATGGGTTACGTTGATAAGATAGATATTTATTTCATCGATACGCATTTTTCCCCTCCTTGAATGACATTTTTATTATTCCATACAAGACACGCTCTTTTTCCCCCTTGATACGTGTCAGAAAGAGATAAGAATAGCACTCGGACGCGATGACAATCCCCGCCTTGGAAATAATTTTTAGATCATTCGATATGTGGAGTTACTGTTGACTTCTTTCGCAGCAACAGCGCACAACTTCTCTAAACGCGCATTTACGCCAACGATGCGACTAAGCAGATATATGCATATATAAATATAGATATAGATATACCCTACATCAGAAGCTCTTGATAGAGTTGCGCATACAAACCATAATTAAAGAAAAGCGGGGCATTGATATGCCCCTTATTTCAAGATTATGCTAAAATCGTGCTACTAACGCTAATTGACGCAATACCACTTATTTAAAACATATGATCGTGCCAACACATGCACACAAAGTGAAAGTTCCTCAGCTCTTGGTGGAAAAAATTATCGGAAAAAATATCCGGAAACAGAAAATAAAAGCTCATGGACAAGAAGATTGATATACTCCTTCGCGGAAGCATTTATTTAGTGCGCGACGGTGTACAACAATTTTATTGCAGTATTCTGCAATCGATAAAGATAACATATAATGGAAAAAGGAGGAACCGCATGACGACAGCACCGCATAAGGAATCTACAACACGATAAAGAATAGTAAGTTCTTTTAAATCACAACTTCTTGTCGTACGTGAGCTTATGCCACTGCAATCAAGGAAAGTAATCAATTCATTTACCAGCATCCTCATCCTTAGTCGGGTTAGACAGACGCACATCCTTGAGCACTTCCACGAGCTTATCCCACTCCTTTAGGCTGCCCTTTCCACGAAATCCCTGCTTAGACATGCCACCCTTAAGGTCCTTCAGCACCTCCTTCGTGATCTGGGAGACCTTCTCGAGCTTGTCCGCAGCGGACCCCGAAATCATGACCTGCCCTATCACATTCTTGCTCGGCACGACGCTGTGATAGGGAATTTGCGCGTCGACGTCGGACGCCCAGGCGGAAACCAACACCACATCCCCCAGCCCCGCCTCCGTTAGCTTGCTGCGGACGGTGTAGAAGAAATCCAGATCTATGTCATCGCGGCGCAGGGTCGCCACCTCACAGGCCCCTGCCCGGATCTCGCCTTCCAGCGCCTTGGCGGCACCCTCCGCGAGGTCCTCCGTTGCCCACCGCTTGAGCCGCCGCTCCATCCTCACGGCGTCCTCGATGCGCTTGTGGACGGAAGAGACGAAGACCTGGGGCTGGACGCCCAACTCAAGGGCGAGGCCGCGCTCCCGCTCGTGCATCGCACGGAACCTCTCAATCGCACGGTTGCCCGTGATGAAGTGGAGCTTAAGGGTGCCCCCTTTGACCTCTTGGTGGAGGACGTGAAGGACGTGCAGCCGCGCGAGGGAGGGGAGGTGGGTCCCACAGCAGGTGCAGCTGTCGATGCCGCGGATCGTCACGGTGCGGATGGGGCCCACCACGTCCTCCGGGATCACCCGACCGCGAATATCCAACCCCTCGCCCCCGTCGCCGTTGGACTCCATCCTGACCGCCTTGCGACTCTCGGCCTCGGCCTGACAGGCCTCAAGACTTTCAAAGAGTTCGTAATAAACATCCGTCCCTTCGGCGATGGACGCGTTGCAGAGGTCCTCGATCCGTTTGATCATCTCGTTACTAATCTTCTTGTCGATGGGGTTAATAAAATCACTGTAGGGTTTGTGCCGCTCCGGATGAGCCAGGTACTCCGCAATATCGAGTGTAATGAAGCATGTCGGGTGGGTTAGGCTCCAGCTGATGGTCGGCAGGCGCATCGTATCCGCGCGTTCGACCATGGCCGTCAACAAATGCTGCCCCGTGTGGTGCTGCATATGATCAAGGCGTCGAGCCCAGTCGACTTTCTGCACCACCACCGCCCCAACGGGAAATGGGGAGGGGCTTGTCAAGACGCAGGTGCCGCCACGCCGCTGAGCATTCGTGATGGGGACTTCAGTCGGTGGAATCGCGCCGCCGCCGCTCCCACTGGCGTCGTCCGCCTCCGCGGTGCGGACGAGCTGGAGGGTGCCGTAATCGCACGGCTGCCCACCCCCTTCCGGGAACAGAACAGAGTCGCTGCAGATGATGTCGTACATCTCGCCAGACCCCGCGGCGGACGATTTATCGCCTGCCTTGCTTTTTTTCTTAGAGGTTGCCACCTTGGTGGGTTCGCAGGAGACCACCGTCGTGGTGAGCTCCCGAAGCAAGGGGCTCCGCACGCAAGCCAATTCAGCGACGCGAGTGATGGACATGGGATGCAATCCTAAATTGATGAATCTGAGGAATAAGAAAAAAGGAAGAGGAGAAAACGATGTAGATGGTTACGTTTAGGAAGGATATATATATATATATATATATATATAT